ATGGGCCTATCAATAAAATTCTTTCTGAGCAAGGGCTAGAGCTAAGGACAAGTTTAGGAAATTCCTAAGAGGCAGGATCGACAATGGGGTTCATAATGGGATAAAAAAGCAGTTAATGATGATATTAGAGACTTTAATAAGAGAAACTAACATTCACTGAGTGTACCAGGTACTGTATCAGGCACTTTCATAGAGCATTGGAATGGGTTAAGCCAATAATTAAGGGCAGAAAGGGGCCACAGAAGAAGGAAAGTGAGAAAGTGAGTTACCTGACTGAAGTTGGAGTCAGACAGCTGTGAAAGACTAACCGTGTGGCTAGACGTACACAGAACATCCCTGGGGTGACTGCTATCTCTACCTCTGAAGCTAGGCCTGCAGAAAACTCACAAAAAAAAGAAAGAAAGAAAAAGAAAGAAAGAGAGAGAGAGAGAGAGAGAGAAAGAAAGAAAGAAAGAAAGAAAGAAAGAAAGAAAGAAAGAAAGAAAGAGAGAGAGAAAGAAAGAAAGAGAGAGAGAAGGGAAGAGAAGGGAAGGGAAGGGAAGGGAAGGGAAGGGAAGGGAAGGGAAGGGAAGGGAAGGAAAAGAAAACTCACCTTGACCAGAACTGGTTTGATGAGTGTGTCACTCTGGCCCTTTGCTGGAACGAACCCCTTCTGCCCCTCACAGAGTTCATTGCTGTCCAGAATCTTAGTAGTGACGGTAAAGTTCACATGACCTGCAAGAAAGAAGGGGAAAGGAAGGCATTAGCCCTACTGCCAGAGGTACCAATGAGGTCTCTTCCCCTCTAGACCAGTGCTTCTTAAACTTAACAACATGCAAAGACCTGCAGATCTTGTTAAAATACAAACTGAGTCAGTACTTCTGCGGTGGGGCCTATATTCACATTTCTAACAAATTTCCAGGTGATGTCAGTAATACTGGTCCAGTGTGGTAGGCAGCCTCTAAGGGCCCCCGATGATCCCTGCATCCCAATATTTACACTGTTGTGTAAGCTCCTCTCAGAGTGTGGGCTGGACTAAGCGACTTGTTTCTAAGAGGATAGGGCAGAAGCAATGAGATGCCACTTCTGGGACTAGATTATAAAAAAGACTATAGCTTCTGTCTCGGATGCATGCTTTCTCTTGGGCCACTTGCTTAGCAGGAAGGCAGCTGTCCTGTCCTGAGGCAGCCCAGTGGAAAGATTCATGTGATGAGATACTGAGGGAGGCCACTAGCCCACAGCTGAGGCCCAGAACTGCAGCCTGTGAGGTACAGAGGCTTTGGGAGGACCGTGGAAGTGGATCCTCTCCCAGTCAAGTCTCTAGATGAGAACACAGCCCTGCTGACAGCATGACTGGTATTTCATGACAGACATTGAGCCAGAGGCACCCTGTTGCACTCTGCACCTAGATTACTGGCCCATGGAAACTGGGTGATCATAAATGTTTTGTTCTTTTAAGCCTGTAAGTTGTTGGTTTTGGGGTTGGTTTTTTTAAGATTTTATTTATTTCTTAGAGAGAGAGCATGAGCAAGGCTCCATCCTGGAAGCCCAAGATCTGACCTGAGCCAAAGGCAGACACTTAACCGACTGAGCCACCCAGATGTCCCAAGCCTCTAAGTTTTAGGGTGATTAATTAAGCAGCAGTAGATAACTATACATCTGAAGACCATACTTTAAGTTACCAGGGTTTTATCCTAAGAGCAAATGACATCTCAGGGTTTTTGTGATGATTAAATGAGTTACCACATGTCGAGCAGTTAGAATAGCAGCTGTCCCACAGTAACTATTTGATGAGTAACATGAGTATATATATCCCTTGTCCTGGCATAAATATTAAAAGCTCCCCTTTTCACACTCAAAATTGTTTAGTTTGGATAATTTTTTGGTCATCAAAGAGCGGAGGCAAATAAAATGAGAAAGAATGAGAGAACAAAGCAAATGTAGGAGAGGAAAGGATAAAGTTCTCAATCACTGAGCTTTTGCTCTATGCTTTCCCTGCTCCTCTATCGCTTCCTTCTCTTACCCAATTTGGTAGCTGTGCTATTCCAGTGATAGCTTTTTGCTTCATCAGCACAGAGATAGCTGGAGCCCCGAGAATCTGTCCATGATTCCACCTGGTACTTATCTGATGTACCCAGGTTAGTCTGAACCTGCAGATATTTAAGAAATAAAGGGTCTGAGTACAGGAAACAACACACAGAGGCTTAGGAAAATGTGGGGGTGGAGACACATCCCATCTCTTTCCCAGGGGCATCTGCTTCCTGCATCCCCAACTCTTACCCTGACGCAGTCCTTCAGATAACTGAAGATGGTCACAGTAAGGCGAAAGGATTCCCCACAAACTACCGAGTAAGGGAGTGTCAGTTCAACAAAAAATGGCTTGAAAGCAGTCAGTCCAACAGTAGGTGAAAGACCAAAGCCTCCGGACTGGGAGGTACAGAAAGTCATGGCCTTCCACTCGGTGATGGTGTCAGGAACGGTGACATGGACAGCCTCCCTCCCAGAGTCACTGTGAGAACACAAGAACTCAGGTGAGGCACAGAGCAGGAGAACATTGTGATTTAAGCTACAAATTTACCTACAGAAGTCATTTGTTGCTGTTGTTGTGGGGGGCGGGGTAAAAAGGCAACTGAACTGAGGAACATGCAAATCTCAGAGTGTGAACGTTCAGGTGAGCAAGGATGTATGAATACGGGAGAAGGGGGGGTGTCTGAGGATGTGAGGGGGTGAATGAGAGTGGGGGGGGCCCGTGTATAAACATATCTGAAAGAGGCCAGTGCCCTCTGAATCTGGGAGGGGTTTTGATTTGCATTTCTCTGATGATTAGTGATGTTGAGCATCTTTTCATGTTCCTGCTGGACACATGAGCCTTGAGGTGAGAGGAGGCTTGTCATTCCTCTGGCTTGTCAAAATGAGCAGGTAAGCAGTGGGCAGGAACTGAGGTCAACACATGTCTTTACGTCTCTTGGACCTGGACTCCAAATGCACTGTCTGCACTGTGTAAATGTGGAGACATGTGAGTTCGTTTTGAGGGATTGCCTATGATTGCCTCAGAATTCAGGGAAAGAAGCAAGTTCCCATGTCCCCATTAAACTCTCTTGGCTTGAGACTTAGATTCATTAGAAATTATCTGAGTCTGAGTTTTCTGCTGACTCTCCCACTGTACAATCTTGCTGTACCTTTGAGGCATCACTTACCCAGTAGGAAACAGATCCCAGAGCCAAGTCTCCAGGAAGTATTGGCAGACCTGAGAGTTCTCTGCCTGAAGTGATGAAGATGATGATGACTCAAAACTCTCCTCACCAATACCATAATTTACTAAGGAGAGCAAGAATAAGGGAATTGGGGGGAAAACAGAAGACTTCCGTTGTAAGACAAATTGAGGCAGAGGGACTACTACCAAGAAATTTAGAGGGAAACAGAGAACATCCAGTCAGAGACAAGGAGGAAGACCACTGAGGAACTGACTAGTCATAAGGCCATCAGGGGGAAGTGACAGATGAGGAGGCTGGGCCAGGGGATGAATAGGTAAGGGCTTCAGGCTTCAAAAGTTCTCCCCAGGGAGAGAGATCCGGCTGCCTGCATCTATGACCCACAACCCATTGCCATTCTGAGGCTAGAGGCTCAGTGCAGAAATAGGAGGCAAAGAGTAAGTTTTCAGAGTTCCATGATTTAAACATCTCAGAGAATCCACAAGCCACCCAGGTAGCTCACCTCCAGACATTGCAATGCTGTATTTTAGAGACTGTTGACTGCAATCTACTGGCTTCTTAATTTTGGCATTGGACAGTATTTTCAGGCCCATGCCGTGAGAGGCACCAAAGAAACCAGAGAGTGAAGTGTTAGGGTGGTCCCCTCCCTTACTACCAGGGCAACTGCCTAGGAATTCCACCCTCAAAGGACTGAACCAAGACATTCTTTTCCTATTAATTGTGAGACTGGTGGTTACTACCCAATACTCAGCCACCAAGGTTTTGTTTGCTTCTGTCAGCTAATGTGAAAGGCCTTCAATTTTTTAAAATATATACTTTGCAAAATGATCACCATAGTAAGTCTAGTTAACATTCATCACCATACGTAGTTACAAAAATTTTTTTTCTTGGGATGATAAGTTTTAAGATCTACTCTTTAGCAACTTGCAAATATGCAATACAACGTCAACCATGCTGTCACCACGCTGTCTATTACATCCCCAGGACTTATTTATCTTATAACTGGATGTCTGTACCTTTTGACAACCTTCACTCATTTTGCCCATCCCCACCCCCTGCCTCTGGCAACCACCACATTGTTCTGTGTACCTATGAGCTTGGTTTTACTCTTGTCATTGTTTTGTAGATTCCATGTATAAATGAGGTCATAGAGCATCTGTCTTTCTCTGTCTTATTTCACAAAGCATAATGCCCTCAGGATCCATCCATGTTGTTGCAAATGGCAAGATTTCATTCTTTTTTTATGGCTGAATAGTATTCCAACTTATTTCATTGTCAAATATGTTTAACGCTTCTCCCAAATATTAGTCACTGTGCCATTATTATTCAATTTAGACTGAACTTTCTGAGGGCAGGAACCATATCAGCTCAGTTAATTCAACAAAAATATGTTGAGTATTATGAAGGATCAGTCATTAGAATAGAAAGATAAACAAGACATGGTTCCTGACTTCAGAGACTTCCTGGTCAGCCTTGGGCCACAGCATCCCCACTTCTACTCATAAAGTACTCAATTTCTACTCATGTAGTACTATTTATAATAATAGTAAGAGAGCTCTGGTCTACCTTTCCTCATTTTTCCTTCTTGGCTCATTCCATGGAAATCAGTTTTTTCAGGGACAGAAAGAGGCTGCACACCGCCTCCCACAATGGCTCTCTTCCAGTGCAATCAGGCAACTGGGCCCCTTCTTCAAGCGTAAGGACCAAGAGAGGCTACCTCACATATCAGGAGTTTCTTCCAAGATTTTATCTCTTCAGTGCCCACATGAGTCTCTCTGCTTTTTTTAGATATGGACTTTCCTTCACCCTCCACCCCACCACCATTGTTTCTATAAGAACAAAATGGGTAAGAACATCTACCTGGCAAAAATGGAGAAGGTGCATGCCTTCAGAGAACCAAGGCCTCTACATAACTGAGAGGGGCTGAGGAGCATCCCAGGAGCCAGACATTGGACACTCATCATATTCAGCCACCTGATAGGGGTAGTGACCATACCAGAATGAGAACATCCTATAGACCTGAAATAGGAGTGGAAAAGGAAATAAACTATTAACACAGTGAAATCAGTTGAGAAACTTCACTCAGATTCTGGTGTCACAGTTCACTGCTCTTGTATTATTTCTCTTCATTACTCCAGAATTCTTCCTATATTTATTCCATCATAATCTCTTCCTACTTTTTTTTTTTTTAAAGTAGGCTACACGCTGGGCTCCAATGTGGGGCTTGCACTCACAACCCCGAGACCAAGACCTGAGCTGAGATCAAGAGTCAGACGCTCAACAACCTGAGCCATCCAGGCACCCCATCCCTTACCTACTTTCTAAATTTTGATCTCTTTCTCACCTTTTTCAATAATTATCTCCTATTACAAATTTCCTACCTCTATGTCCACATGATCCATGCCTTTCTCATACCATCATTTGACCTTCATTTCCACACCAGCTTTTCTACTACCTTATGGTGGTGCATTATTTCCCTCAGACTTTCTTTCCCACTCCCTGAAACCCATCTTTTATTCTAATTCAGTCAAAATGTCTTCTCTGTCAACTCCCTCTTCCCACCGCATTAGCAGACTCCTCACAGAATTGTTGCTCAGCTGTCTCTGGCCTACGTAGTAAGACACTCATCCACAGCCCGGACTGCACGCAGGGACCCAGGCCTAAGTAGTAAGACACTCATCCACAGCCCAGACTGCACGCAGGGACCCAAGAGCTGCCTGTGTAGCTGTACTTCCACATCTGCTCCTGGAAGCTGCTGGGGAGGTGAGAAGCCAAAGGAAACCTGTGGAAGGGAAAAGTACAACTTAGGGGTCAGGTCAGCCTGGAGAGAAGGGGAAACAATGTAATTTGGATCATCAGCCAATATGCCCCAACTCTGGTATTCAAGCCCATTTCTTCACTTTTATACTGATCTTTTTTTTTTTTTGTAAAGTCTAGCCCTTTTAGAACTCCTCTCTTGCGGTACAATTGGAAAAAGTGAACAGCGTAGCACAGAATAACATAGAAAGTTTGAGACAAAAACCAGAAAGAAAGAATAGCTTTATAAAATATACAATTTCCCAGCATGACTTTTTAAACAATGGGAGATAGATTTCAACAAAACATACTGAAGACTTAAATACAATAATGACATCCACTTCAATATGATCTTCTTATTTCCCTGCCCCTGCCTGATTGATTGATATTTAGATTGATTATTAGATTAGATTGATATTAGATTGATTATTAGATTGGTATTTAAAACCAAAAAAACCCTGGGGCACCTGGGTGTCTCAGTTGGTTGAGCATCCTACTCTTGGTTTTGGCTCAGGTCATGATCTCAGGGTCCTGGGATTAAGCTCTATGTCGGGCTCTGTGCTCTGCAGCGAGTTTGTGTGAGATTCTCTCTCCCTCTCCCTCTGCCCCTCCCCCATAAATAAAGAAATAAATCTTTAAAAACAAAACAAAACAAACTTTTGTCAACTGGGAAGCAGGACTGGTGAGTGATGTAGATAGAATTACAAATGAGGGAGGAGGGGAGAAAAACAGGAAAAGTTTGAAGTTTTCCCTCAGGGAAGCCTTACCTCCAGAGAAATATCTCCCCCATTCCAATTAACTGTATCCAGCTTAAAGGGAGCAAGGCCATCATTGTCAGTAGTTAGGGTCTGGTGGATGGTTCCATTTATGCCATATATCACCAGAAATACTGAATGATTCTTGAGAAGGGAGCCATCATGGCCCCTAACTCTTATCTGGGGAATGAAGGTTACTGGGGCATTAGAGTTAGGTTTGGAGTAGGTTCAAGTAAGAGGTAAAGTGAGGTGATAAATTCTAAGAATACATTTCAGGAAAGAGTCCAGAAACAGGTAAATTTGATTCAAGCATTGGAAACTAATATCTATGAGGAAATGAGAAACAAACAGAAGTAGCTCAGCCTGGAGCAGAAGTAGATTTGCCATGTAGCTAATGAAGCTTTAGGACCCTTCATTTACATAGGCCCCTTCCAAGGCTCTCTGTACATTATTTTGCTTTAATTTTTTTAAACAGAGTCCCCTTCCACTCACAAATTGTATAATCCTTAGGCTCTAAGAAAATCTGGATCACTCTTGGTCTAGAGAAAAGATGAACTTGATCTGGGGGTCTGAGTTCAAGCCCCACATTGGATGTAGAGATTACTTAAATAAATAAATGTGGTGGGGTTTTTTTTTCTTTTTAAAAGAAAGAAAGAAGACACAAAGGAATTTTTAAAATCTCTGAAGAAACTGCTTAAGGAGCTATGAATGGCCCTCTGTCAAGGAAAGTTTAACATTAATCTTGCTTAGCTGAGGAGCCACACTAGGTGATTTCTCTACATACCTTGCAGGTCTAAAATTCAAAGATTTGAACATTAGATTATGAGCCCTTGGCATTGGGAAAGGCAATAAAGTCACATTAATACTCAAAGCCCATCTCATGTGAGATTAAGAGCAGCACAGCATAAGGAATTAAGAGTGTATACTCTGGATGCAGGCTGCCTGGGTTTGATCCTAGTTACTACTTACTACTTACTAGCTGTGTAACTTTTGGAAAATTACTTACTCTCTGTGCCTCAGTCTCCTCATCTGTAAAATGGGGCCAATAATAGTTTCTACCTCATTAGATAGTTGTAAAGATTCAATAAGTAAATACCTGTACTTAGAACGACACTGAATTAGCCATTATTATATGTCTACAAGAAGAAGGCAACAGTGGATGGTTAAGCATTTTTTGTGTAGAGATATGTTTCAACATACCTTCCCACTGAAGGGGAAATTGGGGTAATAAAAATTTTTGGTGTCTTCAAAGGTTATTGATCCCACTTGTGAAGAAATGTTGATATCCTGAGTGGTATTGGCTTCTACCCCTGCAGAGGGTAACCAAATGTATGACAACTGAAATACCTGATATCCTCATCTTCATGTTTAACAAAAAATCCCTGAAAGGACAGTGCTACTGGAAGTATGAAGCTGAACATATTTCTGGCCAAAGATCCACACAAACTCCTCCTCCCCAACCTTTTGGGGAACTAGGAACAGATGACAGGTTGGAATCTGACATTTCCCTTTGACTGTGAACTAGGAACAGAGTCATTCCCAAACACTAGTGAGGGTCAGTCTTGAGTCCTCTGAGTAAGTTTATCCCTAGAACAGCCCTTCTCCTTTCTCTTTTCTTTTCTTTCTTTTTTAAAGATTTTATTTGTTTATTTGACAGAGAGAGACACAGCAAGAGAGGGGACACAAGCAGGGGGAGCGGGAGAGGGAGAAGCAGGCTTCCCACTGAGCAGGGAACCCGATGTGGGGCTCGATCCCAGCACCTTGGGATCGTGACCTGAGCCGAAGGCAGATGCCCAATGACTGAGGCACCCAGGCGCCCCTTTCTCTTTTTAAAGGAACCAAGGACTATCCCACTTACCTGTTCCTTCCTCCACCACAGTAGCCACAATATTGATGGTGTGGCTGTACATGTAACCAGTGAGGTTGAAGGTGGACATGTCCACAGAAGCGGAGAAGCATCCTGCTTTGTCAGTCTAGTGAAGCAATCAGGGAGAAAGAGAGGATGAATAACCCAACTTTTACTCCCGTTTCATAACGTACTATCAAAAGAAATTCTTATCTCCGTGCTTTAGTTTCTCTACCTTGAAGACAGAAAAACTCTCCTATAACAATAGAGTATACACCTGCACATACACAATCATGAAACAACTTTGAAGGTCCAAGATATGAGAGGAGGGAAAAGAACCAACTGCAGGGCAGGAAAATTGTATCTCCCAAGGATTTAGGTTAATTTCTTGACTCCAAGGCAGATTCTAAAAAAGACTTCCATCTGGGGCACCTGGGTGGCTCAGTCGGTTGGCCGTCTGCCTTCGGCTCAGGTCATGATCCCAGGCTCCTGGGATCGAGTCCCCGCATTGGGCTCCCTGCTCGGCAGTGGGGGATCTGCTCCTCCCTCTCCCACTCCCTGCTTGTGCTTTCTCTTTCTCTCTCTGTGTCAAATAGATAAACAAAATCTTTAAAAAAAAATAAAAATAAAGGGATGCCTGCGTGGCTCAGTTGTTAAGCAGCTGCCTTCGGCTCAGGTCATGATCCCAGGGTCCTGGGATCGAGCCCCACATCAGGCTCCCTGCTCTGCTTCTCCCTCTCCCACTCCCCCTGCTTGTGTTCCCTCTCTCACTGTCTCTCTCTGTCAAATAAATAAATAAAATCTTTAAAAAGAAAAATAAATAAATAAATAAATAAATAAATAAGACTTCATCTGTTTAGAATAAAGAAGATTGCTTTGTTCTTTGGAACTGGGGCAATAATTGTATGAAATGATTCTACTTTGGCCTTTTTGCCACTTTTTATTTTTACCACCTTTCAATGTATTTTTTTTCTTTTTTAAGTTTTTATTTAAATTTCAGTTAACATAGAGTGTAATATTAGTTTCAGTAATAGAATTTTGTGATTCATCACTTACATATAACACCCAGTGCTCATTACATCACGTGCCCTCCTTAATGCCCATCACCCATTTAACCCATGCCCCCACCCCTCTCCTCTCCTGCAACCCTTAGTTTGTTCTCTATAGTTAAGAGCCTCTCTCTTTTTTTCCCCCTATGTTCACCTGTTTTGTTTCTTAAATTCCTTTACCACTTTTTTATATAGGTACTTAGTTACTCATTAGGACATATGAATAAGTTTCCTTTTCTACATCCTATTTACTCACCTGTCCAGAAAGGTTCCTGCATTTGTCAGGTAGCTGTTCCCGTTCTGCCTCTGGAAAATGGTAAGTATATGCCTTTTGACACACCGATACCTGGGCTGCCCCTAGCATGGGCTTTCCGTAGGTGTACCTAACCCAGAAAAGCATGAGAAGTCAGAGTTGGGAGATTGCACTTGAGATCCAACCCTCCTCTTCCAAAACACCACTGTCCCTTCTTTCCCCTACTCCAACTTCTCAAAGTACTAACAATCCTTCACTAGTCTTGTTCACTTCCCTGTTTTACTCAAAGCCTTATCATATTGCCACTACACAATAAGTACCATCGGAAGGACAGAGGCCGTGTTTTTCATTGTCCTTACTCCTATCTCTCCATGGGACTCAGTACTGTGTTCTGCATAAGGTGGACACTGAATCAATAATGCTGATTGAGCGAGCGAGTGGTGCAAAGTAAGGGTAGAGACACAATTAGAAAATGTGTTCTTGGAGAAGTCGTGACTCTGGACCACATAAAATATCTAAGTTTTCACTACTGCCTCCATAATCTCTCTCCCCATGACACTCCGATGTCACGCTTCTCAATATAGCTTTACTCTCCACCAGATCCAGAGCTTTGTTCTTACCTACAACAGATTTTCACTAAGAAGGATTCTTCCACTGCTTGGGCTCTATCACGTCCACCTTAAACTTCGGCAACACTGGATAGAGTGGAAACAGAAACAGGAAGGGAAGAGGAAGAGGATTTGATCATACAGGTAGTGGACAGAGGGGTATAAGAACAGCCATATTTAAATTAATTAAATTAAGGGGGATTATGAAGGCAAAATGCTCCTGAAGCTATTGGCTGGTTTAGCATGGATTTGAAAATGAATAAAAAAAATCCCTTCCCATAGATTTTACTTTACCTTTGCTGATCTGGGGACAAGATTATGTCCAACACGTTGACCTACTAATTCTCCCACCTACCCTATTCTTCCACACTGAAGGTGCCAAAGGTCGTGCCCCAGCCACTTCTACTGTATAGGTTCCCAGCGTTGCCTCTGGTGCCAAATGGAAGGACAGGTCTACAATGCCTTGCTCAGGCACCACCTCCAGCCACTGTGCAATCCTGTTGCTATTTGTATCCTGTGTTCATTAGAAAGAAACTCATGAGGTACAGGCCTGTTTCTCACTATGCACTGCAAAAAAGCAGGTAAAGACACAAAGCGCAGGTAAAAAAATCCCACTCATTGCTCACGACCCCCGTGGTCTGTATCCAGGAAGAACAGCTCCCTGTTTCATTTATAATTTTCTTTATTACTAAATGAAATAAATTTTCCTATAGGTCCGACCCCACTTGGGATGAAAAGCATCTTTGTGGATTCAAATAATCAGACTCGAGTCCTCAAAGGGATTATCACCAGTTTCAGAAAGTGGGCTTTCATATGTCCTTTACAAAGAGTGTTTATTCTTGGTACATATTTAGGGGCAATGCTGAAGGACTCTATCACAAGATACCCAAAAGATAATCTAACAGAACAATGGAGGGGTTGCTGTGGGGCATTCATTCTTCTAGTCCCTTTCATTCTTAGCACTTCCCACAGGTATTTGTGTCATATTCAACAGCTGAGTGTCTATGAAAATAGTCACTAGAGTAAGAGGACAGAGCCAAGCCTGGATGAACCGGCATGGCGCAGAGAAGTCAGAGGATTCAGAGGGGGAGGGCTAGTTGCAGCGGAGTGATGTCCTCTACAGAGCCTCAGGACTGAGAGGGTAGGGGGCGCAGGCAGGAGAACAGGCGCAGCTTGGGTGAGCTCTGGGTGCTCAGTACTTGGGCAGAGTCTCGGGCTCTGCGCCAAGATTGAGTTGTTTCTGGGGCTTCAAGGTTTAGCACCAAATTCATTTCCCCTTTTCCACAACTGACAGAAAAGAAAAGGAAACTTCGACTTACCTGCCGCTCCACCATGGAGTACTGAAAAAAAAAAAATTAGATAATGTGGGTTGTTTTTTTTTTTAAATATTTCAGCCTTGTCCCTTTTTTTTAAAGATTTTATTTATTTATTTGAGAGAGAATGAGAGATAGAAAGCGCGAGAGGGAAAGGGGTCAGAAGGAGAAGCAGACTCCCCGCTGAGCAGGAAGCCCGATCCGGGACTCGATCGCCGGATCCAGGATCATGACCTGAGCCAAAGGCAGTCGCTTAACCAACTGAGCCACCCAGGCGCCCCCAGGTGATGTGGGTTAAAGCAGGATAAGCAATAAGGATGGGCTGAAAGCAGAAAGTTCACAAGGGCTTCTTTCTTTCTCTGTTGCCCATTTCTTCTTCCTAAATGGCTCTTTTGTGCCCTCATCAGAGTAACAATGGAGTAAAAGCTTATTTGCCAGGGGAGGAGAGAGAATAGATTTCTTCAAAGGGATTGCCAGTCTCCAGAACATTTGAAGAAATGAAGCTTCGGGGGCACCTGGGTGGCTCAGTCGTTAAGCATCTGCCTTCAGCTCAGGTCATGATCCAAGGGTCGTGGGATCGAGCCCCGCATCGGGCTCCTGCTCAGTGGGAGGCTTGCTTCTCCCTCTCCCACTCCCCCTGCTTGTGTTCCCTCTCTCGCTGTTTCTCTGTCAAATAAATAAATAAAATCTTAAACAAACAAACAAAAAGAAGAAATGAAGCCTCAGACCCTTCAGCGTCCCTTAGTGCTCTGGGGCTGAGCTCTACCACAACATGCCTTAAAAGAAAGTTTTAACATCTGGAAGCTCCCCGATGTTTAAACCTCGTCTTGGGAGGGCGCCTGGGTGGCTCAGTCATGAAGCGTCTGCTTTCGGCTCAGGTCATGATCCCAGGGTCCTGGGATCGAGTCCCATATCCCTGCTCGTCAGGAAGCCTGCTTCTCCCTCTCCCACTACCCCTGCTTGTGTTCCTGCTCTCGCTGTCTCTCTGTCAAATAAATAAATAAAACCTTTAAAAAAATCATAAAAAAACAAACAAAAAAACTTCTTCTTGGGAGCCAATTATCTCCTTGACTCCTCCTCTGCTGTCTGAATGTCACTGGCAACATCGTAACATTTAATTTCTAAAATATATTTTGTTTAAAAGAGTTACATCAGGGCGCCTGGGTGCCTCGGTCAGTTAAGCATCTGCATGTGGCTCAGGTCATGATTCCAGGGTCCTAGGGATCCAGCCCCACATCCGGCTCCCTGCTCAGCAGAGAGCCTGCTTCTCCCTCTCCCTCTGCTGCTCCCCCTGCTTGTGCTCTCTCTCTGTCTGTCTCTCTGTCAAATAAATAAATGAAATCTTTAAAAAATTTAAAAAAATTTTAAAAAAAGAGTTCTATCAAAGGACTTCAAGAAAATGCATGTTAAAACCAAAAGGTTAGTGGTGAACAGGTTATTGGGCTAGGCGCCAAAGTGTCACCAAAGTTACTTGCTAATTAGAAAAAAAGAAGACGGAGGCACCTGGCTGGCTCAGTCAGTAGAGCATGGGACTCTTGATCTCCAGGTTGTGAGTTCAAGCCCCATAGTTGGGCATAGAACTTACATTAAATAAATAAAAAAACTTAGGAGCGCCTGGGTGGCTCAGTCGGTTAAGTGTCTGCCTTTGGCTCAGGTCATGATCCCAAGGTCCTGGGATAGAGCCCCACATCGGGCTCCATGCTCAGCAGGGAGTCCGCATCTCCCTCTTCCCCTGCCCCTCCCCCAGCTCATGCTCCCTCACTCTAAAATAAATACTGAAAAAAAAATAAAAATTTAAATAAGTTTAAAAATTTTTTAAAGAAGACATACCTTTACACTGGAGAAATTATTAGGCTGTCACCATCTTAAGCAAGTAATCAAACTCATCATCACTAATAATGGGACAACCTGACATTATGTGTCTCCTGAAGAGTACACTGGAGATTCATAGCATTGCCTAATAAATATTTTTGCCAAAAATGTTTAGCTTAAATCTAATTAAGACCTCAGAACTACTTCCCTACTACGATAGGGAAACAAGTTAGACTACACAAATAAAGAAATAATCAGACAAATCAAGAATGTTGAGTATTCTGTAAGACAACTACGCTTCCTCAAAAGTCAATGTCATATTCTGGAATGGGGACATTCTACAAGTCATTTAGCCTGATCACTTTTTCTCTCTCTCTCTCAAAAGAAAAAAAAAGTCAAAAATGAAAAATTAAGATTATTTTAAATTAAGAGAAATTTAAAAGACATAACCAAATGTAATGCATGAATTTGATCAGATCCTAGTTTGAAAAAAAAACCCTCAAACTCATTTGAAAAAACCTGATTTAAGACTGGGTATTAAATGATATTAAATGATTATTGTTAATTTTCTTAGGTTTGATAATGATACCATGATCGTTTAAGATGGAACTTTTCTTTATTCTTTTTAAGGATTTTGATTTTAAGTAATCTCTACACCACCATATGGCTCAAACTCACAACACCAAGATCAAGAGTCGCACCCTCCACTGATTGAGCCAGCCAGGTGCCCCTAAGATCTACTTTTATTTTATTATTATCATTTTTTTTTTTTTTACTTATTTAAGAGAGAGAGACACAGTGAGAGAGGGAACACAAGCAGGGGGAGTGGGAGAAGGAGAAGCAGGCTTCCCGCTGAGCAGGGAGCCCGATGTGGGGCTCGATCCCAGGACCCTGAGATCATGACCTGAGCCAAAGGCAGACGCTTAACGACTGAGCCACCCAGGCGCCCCTAAGATCTACTTTTAAAAAGATACGTGCTAAAGTGTTCAGGAGTAACATGTTAAGATGTCTGCAACTTACTTTTAAATGATTCAGAAAAAAAAGAAAAAATATCAATTAAAATGAGTATGGCAAAATGAAACATAATGAATGTTATGTTTGAAAATTCTTTTTTTTTAATTAATTTATTTATTTGTCTGAGAGAGAGAGAAAGCATAAGCAGGGGGAGCAGCAGGCAGAGGGAGAAGCAGACTCCCCACTGAGCAGGGAGCCCGATGCGGAACTCGATCCTAGGACCTTGGGATCATGACCTGAGCCAAAAGCAGATGCTTAACTGAGCCACCCAGGCGTCCTTGAAAATTCTTGTAATAAAAAGTCGAGAACAAAATGATCGCACCAGATAATCTTTGAGAAAATTATCTTTTTATTGTGTTGTTTGTATAAGATCTTTTGATTTTTTCAAATTGCAATTGTTAGAAGTGTACAAAATCATAGCTAAGGAAATTGGTAATTAGAATGTCTAAAATGTTAGGGGCGCCTGGGTGGTGCAGTCGGTTAAGGCACTAACTCTTGGTTTTGGCTCAGGTCAGGATCTCAGTGTCATGAGACCAAGCCTCAAATCAGACTCTATGCTCATTGCAGAGTCTGCTTCAGATTCTCGCTCCTTCTCCCTCTGCCCCTGCCACCTCTCTCTCTCAAATAAATCTTAAAAGAGAGAGAATGTCTAAAATGTTAATACAATTAAGATTCTGATGAGAGACTGTACATTTACTGAACTCAGGGCATTCCAGTTAGTATTATATACACTTAAAAACTAAATGGGATTGAAAGCTGGAATTTAAATATGGGGGCCTCAGAGACGGTACAAGAACTGGATCTCACTTGGAAGGAAAAGGGAATGAAATCAAGATGGTGCTTGCCTTTGATTCTTGAACCAAGTACCACGTGATATCAACCAGTGAAGACAAGCAGAGCATCACTAAATACAACTATCAACCTTGATATCCAGGATAATGGCAATTCTTCAGAAAAGCCAAAAAATGAGAGATAAGGATTATAGGAACAGAAAATTTTCCCTTCTATCCTTCTAGGTTTTTTGGCTGGTCTAATAATTAAATTGACATAAGATGGATTAACAGGAGAAAAATTTAATTACATACATTTGGGAGCCCCACAAAGACAATGAGACTCAAAGGCAGCCAGGCAATTGAGCTAAGGAATGAGAAATAGGGGCCTGGGGCTTCAGCAGGAAATAGGACTATTCACAGGAAGATCAGAAGAGCAGATGGTTGGTAATCAAACGTTTGCCCTACCATGCAGATAAATCTTTTAGATAAAAAAGTTACACCTGGTAACTAGGTCATGCCCCCTTATATAAGTTCTTTTTTTTTTTTTTTAAGATTTTACTTATTTATTTTAGAGAGAGACAGAGAGCATGAGCAGGGGGAGGGGGAAAGAAAGAATCTCAGGCAGACTCCCCATGCTGAGCATGGAGCCCAAAGTAGGGCTCGATTTCACGACCCTGAAATCTGACCTGAGCCAAGATCAAGAGTCAGACGTTCCACTGACTGGGCCACCCAGTGCCTCCCCCACTGTATAAGTTCTTTTAGTCAGTTAAAGGAGAGGTAAAATATTTTTCCTGAGTATTTTGGCTCTTCACTGCCTTCAGCTCAAAATAATCCACGTGGCAAAGTGGCCCATTTTGGGGTGGCACATCCTGCTCTCCCTCAGGATCAAGGGGGAGACAGGATTTTTTACAAACCAGAGCTATACAGACAATAAGGAGACAAAAATGAGACTACTATGGATTGCTAAAAAGTACAGAAAAATCTCAGATGACAGACAAAGTACTTTTCTCACACAGAGAGTCAAGAAGCAGGGAGGACACCAATTATCCAGAAGTAGGCTCCAGAAAAAACCAAGTGTTCAACAATGTTAGGAAGATAGCATTTCCAACTGGAAGCAGGCTGAGATTTCTGAATAAATGGTGTAGCAACCAACCCAGAGAGGCTCAGTTAATCTCAAGTATACTTCAGTTGCTTAAGGATAAAATACTGTGCTCTGTAACCTCACAATTTTTGTCCCTCAGTTCCTTAGTAAAATTCCTTCCGTTTATCTCAGTGTTTCAAACCGGAGTTTCAAATTTTCTGTGTTTCAAGTTGGAACTTGGAGTGGGGGGATGGCTAAAAAGACGATGTGAAGAGGAGGTGTAATTTTACAACAGAAATAGAGAATAAGGTTGGAAATCTGAACAACTCTCAGTAATGGGGTCTAATTTGAGCAGAGCAAAGATAGTGTAACAAGGGTAGCTACTGAGATCCACCTTCAGGGGGCGATAGAGTCTGAACTAACACTTGGCTGTGGTGGTCACGCTCGCCCCTAGCACTTCCTCCTTTCAGCTCTGGGATTAAGAGTCTGTTGAGAAAGTCAGCAATATTAAGCCAGATTGATGAAAAAAGGTATAGGTGATAGGAAGGAGCAACTGAAAAGAATTCTAAATTGGGGAAGAAAGTAGTGGTGGAGGAAGCTACTAATCAATAAGCTGATCGCTTCACTGTCTGTATAGGGAAAGGAAACAAGCTCTGAGAACATGGAGAGGGAAATAAAAATAATGCTTGCCCTGTCATTATCTTTAAAAGCTTCATGACACAGTATGTATCCTGGGCTGTGACTGAAGGAGAAAGAAAGCAACAGGGATTCCGAGAGGTAAGTGTTTCAGAAATGTAAAAAACGACACAAGCCCTAAATTGAGATCAAACGTATCATAAGGCTTAGGATTCCAGGGATTGAGCTGTTCAAGGAGCATTTAAGTAATCGCCAAATGTTACCACCTTTTTACCTTTGGCACGTAATGTACTTTTTTTTTTTTTTAAAGATTCTATTTATTTGACAGAGAGAGACACAGTGAGAGAGGGAACACAAGCAGGGGGAGTGAGAGAGGGAGAAGCAGACTCCCTCCTGAGCAAGGAGCCCGATGTGGGGCTCAATCCCAGAACCCTGGGATCATGACCTGAACCGAAGGCAGACGCTTAACCGACTGAGTCACCCAGGTGCCCTTTAAAAGCCCTATCAATATGAGCATTTCTCAGGAATGTTAACCTAATGGATGTTCTCAGCTATCCACCTGAGAACGGGGCATGCTGCCTGTTTTTAGGAGATGGGACAAGGAGAGTTTAGACTTATACCTTCAGGCTAGCACAGACATTATGCAACTCAGAGGACTTCACCTCATCACACTTTTAGAAAGAATCTCTTCTCCTTTTGCCTACTCTCTCTCAGTCTGCCCTACTCCTCTCCCTTTCCCTCTTCCCAACTAAATTCTCACCTTGTCATTCACTGGAACAAAGCTGCTGTTCAGGGTGACAATGCGGAAGTGCACTAGAACAGAACGGGCGGCATTGTCAAAGGGGATTTTCCCCTCGCTGAATCTTTCTTCCACCCTTTCTACTTCCCCACACATACTTCTGAGTCAGCAAAATTCCATCAGGTTTTACTTAAAAAAAAAAAAAAAAAAAACTGAGTCTGGGAGAGAAATCAAAGCCCCCAAAGGGTTTCTCTTCACAGCTCCTGACTTGGAAACGTTAGAATGGAATGCCCTTCTAAGGAAGAAGGCACAAAGTACAAATACCAGGGGCTCAAGCCAAATGCCCTTGATGCTTTTATTCACATCCAAGCAGCTGGTCCACAGCAGCCCAGTTAAACTTGCAAAATTCCATCCTAGGAATAAATGTGTACTTTTGTTACAGATACACACACATACTAGCAACTCCACCCACTTACTCCTACTTATGTAACACAGCGTGTCTTCAACACCTGTGACCCTTCCTCCCTCCTGCCTTGTTCCATAGACCTCCCACCAAACCACAAAGCCCCTCTTTCTGAATATTTGCAGTGGTTTGCCCTGTCTTTTGTCGAATCCCATCTGTGCATCTCTTACCTTCCTGCCCTGGGTTGTGGACAGGTTTGTCAGTTTGTATAAAGATGCCATTCCCTGCCTCTGAATTAGAACCTTTCTCTTCTCCTCCAAGCTGATATTACTTCCGGTCGCCGACACCCAGATTGTAGCCACTTCTGTGCCACCAGCAGGAGGTGGTACCTGAACAAGAGAAGGGAACTAGCTCTGTGGAGGAGTAGGATTTTGGGGAATGGAATCAACTGAGTTAGATGGGGGTAGCAAGGGTAGGGCCATGAAACAAGTTGCCAGGAAGAAGAAGGGAAACCATATTCAGAGATTAGTCAAAAACTAAAAGAAGAAATCCAAGGTCAAGGAAACTATGAATGCGTTAGGGCCAGGAGTTGAGTTTAGGTTTAGGGGAGACAGGTTTGAAGACTGTGACAAGAGTAGATTACCTAAGTGCCTAGGAAGGAGGATAAGAAAGGAAGGGAGCAAAGTTGGGGTTGAATCTGTGCTTACCAGAAAGGAGATGCACTGCAAGTGCCTTTTCTTCGATTCAGAGGTTTCTAGCAACTTCTGGGTCTTGTCCTGGGTGTCCAGAGTAATAGTGAATTTTACATCATGAAACCCCGGGCGCAGATCCAAACAAACTTTCTGGGTAGAGGGGAAGTTAAGCTGGGCTGGTACTGTCACCAGAGAGTTTCTATTAAGGAAGCAAAAGGATTTCAGGTCAGTAATGATTCATTCATTCAGTGAAAAATTAAGCCCTCTCCTAAGCACTCAGCATATAGCAGTGAATTAAACAGACTGATTCCCTGCCTTTATGAACCTTATTTTCTATAATGGAGAAGCAGATGAGTAACAAATAACTCAGCCTTAAGCTGTGTACATCCTTAAACCAAGCACAATTAGGAGGCCATCACTGAGAACCTACACCTAGGGTACCAGGAAGGAAAATGATTCTATTTTCAGGGTATGAGGAGTCGCCCCCTCTTTTTTTTCTGAAAACTTCCTTTCAGTGCCTCTGCCTTTCTCTCTGGGTAAAGGAGAAATAGAACCAAAGAAGGAACAGATGAGAAGGAAATTAAAATAAATCAGAGGTTATCTCTTCTCTCCCATATTTACATTTGAGAAAAATAGACAAAGAAGCCACCTGCCCTAAATCAACTCTGACACCAAGCACTTACGGGAGATATTTTTCTGCAATGGCTGGTGATAGAGTCAATATTCCTAGAAGGAGCTGAGTCCACATCCTTGTGGGTGAGATTCCCCAACAGCAGGAACCAGAAGTCTGTGTCCCTGCTATAACATATATATAAACCACACAGGGTGTGGAGCTTTGATTAATGCTCTAGCCAATCACCTACTGGAGCCTCAGGCTAAGGTGGTAACCCTGGGTAGGACTTCTGTTTGCTTCCTCAAATTTATTTCCCCTGAAACATTCATACTGGCTCAGCCAGTCCTTAATACCTATTTTGGGGGAAAACCCAGGGTTGAGTATTCACAGCGGTAATGCTATCAGAACAAATTTGGACTCCTCCTTTTTTTCTGGTTTCATTCGAAATTTCCATCCATTTGATCTTTGTTCTCTTTTTATTATTAAGACATACTTGGGAACACAAGTATGGGAACAGTTATCAATAGAAAAGCAGTATATTGGGGCACCTGGGTGGCTCAGTCGGTTAACAGTCTGCCTTTGGCTCAGGTCATGATCCCAGCATCCTGGGATGGAGCCCCTCATCTGGCTCCATGCTCGGCAGGGAGCCTGCTTCTCCCTCTCCCTCTGCTGGCCTGTCTGCCTACTTGTGATCTCTCTCTCTCTCTCTGTGTCAAATAAATAAATAAAATTTTAAAAAAAGAAAAAGAAAAGCAGTATGTCTTTTATCTAGTTGGGAATTTAAAAAATTAATACTACTCAATATTCTTGTGACTATGTGAAAATAGAGACATATACACTCCTTATAAAAGTATAAATGGACGACCTTTCTGAAGGCAATTTCACACACATCAAAACCCTTTCAGGGCGCCTGGGTGGCTCAGTTGTTAAGCGTCTGCCTTCGGCTCAGGTCATGATCCCAGGGTCCTGGGATCGAGCCCCACATCAGGCTCCCCGCTCTGCAGGAAGCCTGCTTCTCCCTCTCCCACTCCCCCTGCTTGTGTTCCTGCTCTTGCTATGTCTCTCTCTGTCAAATAAATAAATAAAATCTTTAAAAAAAAAAAAACTTTCAGATTTCTATGACCCAGCACCTCCTATATTGGAAATGTTTCCTAATGAGGAAAGAGAGCATGTATGTATGCAAAAGATGTATCAACCCTAAGTTTCTTCACTGTATTCTTTATAAGGGCAAGACTTGAATGCTACCTGGGGTATAAATTAGTGAGGATACTTTCTGGAGCAAAGAACAACCCAAATCAAACCACTTAAACAAGAAAGAATTTTTGGTAATGGGTGGATCAGACATGAAGAACCAAAGGAACTAGAGAAACTGGAAACGTTATGGCCTGAAATTAGGCACTGATGCTGTGAGGACTCCTTTCTCCCACTCTTTCAGTCCCACTGTGCACAGGATTTCCTTCAGGTAGTGAAGAAGGAGCTGGGAATCCTTCCAGCTCTATGATCCCAAGAGACAGAAATTTCTCATCTAAGTCAAGAGAAATTTTTTTTTTTAAATTTATTTATTTGACAGAGAAACAGCGAGAGAGGGAACACAAGCAGGGGGAGTGGGAGAGGGAGAAGCAGGCTTCCCGCCGAGCAGGGAGCCCAATGCGGGGCTCGATCCCAGGACCCCGGGATCATGACCTGAGCCGAAGGCAGACGCTTAACGACTGAGCCACCCAGGCGCCCCTCAAGAGAAATTTCTGAAAAAGGATTTTCTCCATCCGGTTCTCCCACCGCCGCCGCGGCGGGTAGCAGCAGCTCGGGCCGCGGGAGGAGTGGCAGCGGCCAGGCAGCCCAGCTTCGCGAAGGCTCTGGGCGCGCCCCGGCCCGCAGTCACCCGGCACACGCCCGCCCCGCCGCCACTATGCCCAAGAGGAAGGTCAGCTCCGCCGAGTGGGCGGCGAAGGAGACCAGGAGGAGGTCCGCGAGGTTGTCAGCTAAACCTGCTCCTGCAAAAGTAGAAACGAAGCCAAAAAAGGCGGCAGGAAAGGATAAATCTTCAGACAAAAAAGTGCAAACAAAGGGGCAAAGGGGAGCAAACGGAAAACAGGCTGAAATGGCTAACCAAGAAACGAAAGAAGACTTACCTGCAGAAAACGGAGAAATTAAAAATGAGGAGAGTCCAGCCTCCGATGAAGCAGGAGAGAAAGAAGCCAAGTCTGATTAATACCATAAACCATGTCTTATCAGTGGTCCCTGTCGCCCTTCTTGTACAATCCAGAGGAATATTTTTATCAACTATTTTGTAAATGCAAGTTTTTTAGTAGCTCTAGAAACATTTTTAAGAAGGAGGGAATCCCACCTCATCCCATTTTTTCAGTGTAAATGCTTTTTCTTAAGAGGTGAAATCTTTTTTTTTAAAGATTTCATTTATTTATTCAAGAGAGAGAGAATGAGAGATAGAGAGCACGAGAGGGATGAGGGTCAGGGGGAGAAGCAGACTCCCCGCTGAGCGGGGAGCCCGATGCGGGACTCGATCCTTGCACTCCAGGATCATGACCTGAGCCGAAGGCAGTGGTTTAACCAACTGAGCCACCCAAGTGCCCAAGAGGTGAAATCATTTGCTGGTTGTTTATTTTTTGGTACAACCAGGAAATAGTGGGATATTGAATGTGGGAGGCTTTGATTGTCTTGGGGTCAGCTCAACATTCCATAGATGGGGTAGTTTTTATATCCTATAATACCAAGCATACTAAATGGCAATTTGGAGTCAGTTGTGAATTTAATGTGTCTTGAGTATTTTAAATTACTTCTATTCCCATGTTCTTTTTGGTAGAATTGTTTCCTAAAGAAAACCACTCCCAGATCTTGGCTCTCCCGGTCAGAATTCTTGGGCACTCTGTAACATCTTGGTCATGGTAGTCCATTTATGGACCAAGTCCATAAATAAATAAATAAAATCTTTAAAAAAAAAAGATTCTCTCTCTCCCTCTGCCTCTCACCCACCCCCCACTTCCACATTCACATGCACACTCTGTCTCTAAAAAAGCAAAACATAACAAAACAAAGCTCATAGAAAAAGAGATTATACTTGGTTACCAGAGACAGAGGGGAAGGGAAGGGGAATTGAAGGACGGTGGTCAAAAGGTACAAACTTCCAGTTATGTGATAAACACATACTAGGGATGTAATGTACATCATGATGACTGTAGCAAACACTGCTATAGGATTTATAGGAAAGTTACTTTTTATTTTTTTTATTTTTATTTTTTTAAAGATTTTATTTATTTGACAGAGAGAGACACAGCGAGAGAGGGAACACAAGCAGAGGGAGTGGGAGAGGGAGAAGCAGGCTCCCCACTGAGCAGGGAGCCCGATGCAGGGCTCGATCCCAGGAGCCTGGGATCATGACCTGAGCCGAAGGAAGACGCTTAACGACTGACCCACCCAGGCACCCCGAAAGTTATTTTTTAAATTTATTTTATTTTTATTTTAAGTAGGATTCATGCCCAATAGGGGGCTTAAACTCATGACCCTGAAATCAAGAGTCACATTCTTCACCAACTGAGCCAGCCAGGATCCCCAAATAGGAAAGTTGTTAAAAGAGTAAATCCTAAGAGTTCTTTCTCATTGCAAGGAGAAATGTTTTTTCTTTTCTTTTTTTTTTCTTTTTACTCTATCTATACAAGAAGATGGATGATGGATGTTAGCTGAACCTTTTATGGTAATCATTTCACAATGTATGTAAATCAAACCATCATGCTTTATGCCTTAAACTTATACAGGGATGTATGTCAAGTATTTCTCAGTAAAACTGGAAAAAAAAAATCAAACAGTATATCCAAAAGCTGCAGGAACATATCAAATAGTTTAAAATATATCCTAGAAAGAGAAGAGAGAAAGAACAAGCAGAAGAAATGTTTGAAGAGATAATAGGTGAGAATTTTCCAAAAATAATAAAAGACATCAAACAACAGATCCAAGAATCATAGAGAATTCCAAGGAGGATAAATGCCAAAATAAAACACACCTAGGAGTGCCTGGGTGGTTCAGTTGGTTAAGCGTCCGACTTTTGATCTCAGCTCAGGTCTTGAAGGGTTGTGATTTCAAGCCCTGCATTGGGCTCCACGCTGGGTGTGGAGCCTACTTAAAACACACACACACCCCTAATCACATTATTTTCAAACTGCTGAAAATCAGAGATAAAGAGGAAGTCTTGAAGATGGCCAGAGGGGGAAAAAAACACATTATATATAGAAAAATAAAGGTAAGAATTATACCAAACTTCTCATGAGAAACAATGTTAACCAGAAGATAATGGATTGACATTTTCAAAATACTGAAGGAAAAAAAAACCAAAATTCAGCACTCTGTAGCCAACAAAAATATCTTTCAATAATGAAGGGAAAAAGACTTTTTCAGAGAAACCAAAGCTGAGAGAATGTATTGCCAGATCTGTGCTACAAGCAATATTAAAGGGAGTTCTTTAGGCAGAGGGTGGCAGACCATAGCCTGCAGGTTAAATCCAGCCTCCCACAAGTTTTGTAAATAAAGTTTTATTGGGGCACAGTAACACTCATTTGCTTTTGTACTATCCTGGTAGACTTGAGGGATTACAAGAGACCATTTGGCATGCAAAGCCTCATTATTGACTATCTGATCATTTATAGAAAGTGAGCTAACTCCTCTCAGGATACCAGACAGAAACTGCACAAATAAATGAAGATGCCTGGAAATGGTATCAAACAAAATAAATATAAAAGACATTCAAATCCATTTTTAATCACTCTAAAAGATAAATGATGCCCTAAAGCAAAAAATATTTCATTCTGAGCTACATCATAGGCATGAGGCTTTTTTTACATGTCAAGACAAAGGGAATGAAAAATGAAGAAAGAAATACTGAGGAACCTGCTTCGCATAAATTCTTTGGCACGTTTTCTTTCTCTCCTATTTTGAATTTTCTGATGAAATTTTTCTCCTCTCCCCTTTGTAACTTTTTCAGGGCCCACCACTACTCCCGTCTGCTTCTCTCAGCTTTTCTAAAAGCTCAATAAAGACACCTTAATCCTCTTCAGCCATTAATCTTCATTTATCCCAGCCCTTTGATTCTAGCAGATAAGATTGGTTGACTTTGGGATCCTATTGAACAT